TGGGAGATGTTAAGTATGAATGTATTAAAAGGCATATTAGTTTATTGTGTTATCATGTATTTACGATTATTGTAACTGACAGGATCAGAATCCCATAATTATTCTGTCTCAGAATGGCTCTGATTGGTACCTGATTTTGTAAGGGGAAGAGCAACTTCCTTAAAAGTAGAGCTAATTTTAATGATGTGTATGGATAAAAACCTTTCAGAACCTTCTTTTTATAATATGGAGTGACTTAAAATGAGAAGAAGTAGCTGTAGACATCTATTAGTAATAAAAAATTGAATGTATTAAATATATATCTATGAAAATTGGAAGTTGTAAAAATATGAAATGGAATACTTCAAGATAGAAATCCTAGGCGCTTGGAATATTTTTTTTCACGGTTTAAGGAATTTTTATTAAAGCAAGAATTTTATAATCCAAATTATGTTTCCTTGCTCAGTTATCAATTCTGTTACCTAAAACAGAACTGATATTCTGAGCTATTCCACAGTAAAGAATTACAAAATTAAAGAAAGGAATGCTTTAAATTTTTGTAGGCCCTTGGAATCTTAAATGAACTGGTGTTGGCCATTTTCATTGGGTCAGTCATATGGCCTAGTCTGCCTGAAATGACAAATTGAGGAGGAAGGGTGTTGCAATCATTGTCAAAAGAACATTTCACGGTGTATACTGAAGTCCAACATTGTTAGTGATAGGATCTTATCCATGTTTCTACAAAATAATAGTTGAATCACTTAATACATTTACTACTCAAATGTATGCACTAATCATGAATGTCAAAGAAGTAAAAATTGAAGATTTTGCCATATCTGCAGTCTGAAATGGATCAAACATGAAATTATCATAATTACTGGTAATTGGAATACAAAAGTTGGAAACAATAAAGAATTGGTAATTGGACATTATGGTCATGGAAACTATACTGGAGATGACATGATAGCATTTTGCAAAATCGATAACTTATTCATTGAAATACTTCTTTCCATGACAAAAAGGGCAGCCATAGATGTGCAGAGAAGAAGCAAGTGTAGACAGCAAGGGGAAGGCCAAGTCCAACCACTGTTAACTCGACAAAAGACCTGCCCCATCAGTAATGTCCACGGTATCCAAAATGATAGCTAAAAGGTCAGACCTGGCCCTCCACACTCTTGCACCTACTTTTGCTAATTAATTACTGGGTCTGATGTTCATTGCAAATTGACTCACAGACTTTACTCACAGGTGTGAGGTTTATTAAGGAAATACTTTGGGGAAGGGGGAGGAGAAGAATATTGTTGTTGTGTACTGTAGAGTCAGATCGGACCCATAGCTCATCCTCTGGCGGATTTTTCAGAGGCAGTTAATTGCACAAGAGGAGATTGCCCATCCTTCTTCCACGGAGCAGCTGGTGGCCTCAAGCCATGTTTCTTTGGGATTGCAGTACAGCTTCTTGTCACTAGGCCACCAGAGCTCCCTAAAGAATATTATACAGTGATATTCTAGGTATAGTTCAGCAAATTCCTCATTTAGTTCAGACAGCTTCTCAGTCAACAAGTGGAAGTTGAGGTTTAGGCCAGCAACACAAATGCAGGAAGCCTCTGGTTTCCTCAGTCATCTAGCTTTGTTTCATAACAGTTAAACTCTTCAGTCTTCTTCCTTTAGTCGTCCTGCTAACAAAACTTTTAACTCTGGCTCCTTCTCCAGTGCTCCATTAAGTTACACCTCACTGTAGTCTCAACAGTCTGGTCAACTCTCTCTTTTATGTTGGCCTCACAGCTATTGATGATGTTGACGATGCTGACCAATTGGTGAACCATGTGTCTGCAGTTGAGGGGCTAAGGCAACAGATATAAAAGCCATTTGCAAAAAGTCCTAACACCACTATATGTACTTTCTTGTTGAAAAAGATGAGGATGGTGCTGGATAAGGCAGGGTTCTCATCTGTTGTTCATGGACTCACTATGTGGTGTAGTGTATTTGACGGGACCTAACAACAATATATATGTTTCTCATTGGATGAGATACATAGGAATCAAACTAATTACATCTGTGGAAAATAGCTCAAGTCAGAATAATGCTGAAGGCTGACTCTGGAACAATCAGTTGTTCTCAGGTAATTTCAAACTGAGAACATTAAAATAAGTCTACAGGAGTCACCTTGAGTATATCCTTCCTGAATTCTGAGACCATCACTAGAATAGAGTTGATGCCTTGAACTTTTAATTACTGAAGGCTAGACAATTGTGGGTGCTATCAAGGTTGTTGAAAAGACTCGAAAGAAAGAAAAGACCAAAATAGATGTTAGAAGAAACTCTAGAACTTTGAAGAGCTAAAACATATGGAAGAAATGGTAAAATAAAAGAGTTGAACAGAAGATTTCAGAGGGTAGGTCAAGTAGTCAAAATACAGTATTGTAATATTATAATTAAATGTGCAAAAGGGAAAAACTTGCTCTGCATTCCTTAAGCTAAAGAACTGAAGAAGAAATTCAAGCCTCAAGTTGCAGCAATGAAGGATTCTACAGGCAAGATTACACAAAGAAAAACGTGTCAGGTGAAGATGGAAAAAATACTCAAATGTATGTATGACAAAGGTTTGGCCTATTTTCAACCATTTCAGGAGGTAACGTGATCAGGAACCAATGATAATGAAGGAAGATGTTTAGGGTACACTGAAGGCATTGGTAAAAATCAAGGCTCCAGGAATTGATAGAATACCAACTGAAATGTTTCAACAAATGAATACAATACTAGAGGCACTCACTCATCTATGCTAAGAATCTTGAAAGATAGCAGCTATCTGGCTTATGGACTAGAGATCTACTTATATCCCTATTCCAAAGATAGATAACAATATCTTTAATATCACACATAAATACAGTTTTGCTTAAGAGAATTTTTTAAAAAAAGATTGCTGCGTATAATATGCAGGGATAATGTCAGAAATTTAAGGTGGATTCAGAAGGGGAAAAATATTGTTAATGTCAGGTGGATCTTGCCTGAAAGTATAAGATACCAGAAAAAATGGTTAAAATCTAGAAAGGTTTTCATCAGGCCTGTTCAAATTATTTCCGATGTTGAATTAAATGAAGAAGAATATGACACTGAGATTAGAGGAAGATTCATTAACAGCCTGTGACTAAATTTTGCTTACTGAAAGTGAAGAGGACTTAATTTAATTGATAAAAAAACAACTGTGGCTTGTGCCACAACATTGTTGTTGTTGTTATGTGCCATCGAGTCGCTTGCGACTCATGTAACAACCTTACGTACAACAGCCCTAAACCCTGCTCTATCCTGCACCAATCTTATTGTCTCTGCCACGTTTACCTTCATTACCCTAGTCACTGAATCAATCCATCTCATCAAGGGTCTTCCTCTCCGCGCTGTCCCTCCACCCTCCCAAACATGACATCCCTCTCCAAGGATTGGTCCCTCCTTGCAACATGCCCAAAGTATGTCAGATGAAGCTTCAGAATCATTGCCTCCAAGGAGCAGCCTGGTCTCTCTCTAGAATAAACATGTTTGTTCTCTTAGCAGTTCATGGTATATTCAATACACTTCCCCAGCACCACAGCTCAAAGGCATCAATTCTTATTATCCCTCGTCATTGTCCAGCTCTCTGATGCATAGCAAGTGTCAACATAGAGAAGATAAAATTTCTTACTAGACCAATAAGCATATGATAACTGGAGAAAAGGTTAGAGTCGTCAATGATTTAATTTTACTAAGACCCACAATCAATTTCCAGGGAGGCGGCATGCATATTAAAATTATTATCTTGGGGAAAGGAGCTGCCAATGACTTCTTTAAAGCATTCACAGCAATCATGTCACTTTGAGAACAAAGATGTGCCCGGGCCAACCAGAGGGGTTTTCAGTTGCCTCATATGCATATGACAAGTTTGTTTTTGTTGATCGCCTTTGAGTCAAGCATGATGACCTGTAGCAACCCTATGAACAAAAGGCCTGAAGCCCCTCTACAACCATCAACACTTATCAAAGTTCATAGAGTTTCCGAAGGCATGTTGGTTAGGAAGTGGATACCAGGTAGACACATAAGAAGACTGAAGAAGAATTAATGCCATTGAATTATGGTGTTGATGAAATACGTTGAATATACTGTCAAAGAATGAACAAAATGGTCTTAAGTAGCACATCTAGACTGCTCTTTAAGAATAAGGATGGCAAGACTTCACATCAAGTGCTTTGGACATAGGACCAGGAAGGACCAGTCCATGGAGAAGAACATCATGTTTGGTAAAACAGGTCAGTGAAAAAGGAACTAACCTTCAGTGACATGGATTGCGACAGTGGCTGTGGCCATGACCTCAAACATAGCAATAATTATGATGATGGCACAGAGGTATACAGTGTTTTGGTCAAGTTCTCTGTGAGTTGGAAGTAATACAACAACACCTAACATTATCTGTGTGTGTATAATCTATATCTATCTGCATATGTGTATGCACTTATGAATTTGAGTTTTGTTCGGCTCTCTCTAGAACCTTTCAGTGTAATCTCTTCTAGAAGGGTTGGTGCTGGTAACGGGTAACCTAGTTCTTCTGGCCTCAAGGTTGTGGATGCTGAGGCTGATGTAGATAATGAACTAATGTTTCATGCATCCTATTTCTTTACTCATTTGCTACAGGCAGGGAATATGCATGCATTTTTGAACCATGTTAATATTTACTCAAGCAAATACATTTTAGAAGTTTCTTTAAAAAGGGAAAGAAATTTTTAGATTTGACAAGTGTATATGTAGAAATTAAAGTTTAGAAGTTATTAACCTTGAGTGGTGAGAGGGAGGGAAGGAAAATCAAGGTTTAGGGACATTAAATGTTGTAAAGAGTGTGGTGTAAATTCAGGAATGGTTAACTGGAATGATTGAACGATACAATTGAATGTCACTGAACTGTGCATGATTATTGTAATGCCAAATGTTTTCTTAGCTGGACTTGTACTGCAATTGTGTGTGTGTGTTTATTTTTCTAATAGGACTATTTGTTTCTTTTAGGCTTATGGTCAAGATTTAAAAAGAAATGTTTGAAGCTCATCAGGAAGATGCCTGTCATTGGCCGCAAGGTGAGTAAAGTCTGTCATTCCTTTCCCCAACACACACACTCTAATGAACATAAGTAGCCCTGGTGGCATAATATGTAATATATTGGGCTTCTAACCAAAAGGTCAACAGTTTGAATCCACTGGTAGCTCTGTGGGAGGAAGATGATGGGCAGCCTCCTCCCATTGTGGTTTACAGCTTGGAAAACCCAATGGAGGGTTCCAACTCTGAGTTGGAACCACCTTAACTTAATTGCTTTAATCAACTTAACTTTAACTTAATTGCTTTAATCAAAGCGATTGCTTTAATTGACAATCATTCTTCCTTCATTATTCTTATTTAATCCAGTATTCTCAGTGACATATGACACCTCCAGGACATAAATGACAATAATTAGAGGCAGTTTTGGATATTAATATTGGAGAGTAGATCGAGACCAGGGACACTGCTAAACATCCTTTGATGTACAGAAAAGCCACCTCTGACAGAATTACGTGGATGAAAGATGTCAGCAGTATAAGAGTTGAGAAACTAATTTAACCCTTTTGTTGACAAATATATTTGGAGCTCTGGTGGCCTAGTGGCAAGAAGGTGTGCTGCAATTCCAAAGGCACACAGTTTGAGGCCACCAGCTGTTCTGTGGGAGAAGGATGGGCAATCTCCTCTTGTGCCATTAACTGCCTCTGGAAACCCACTGGAGAGTCAGCTATGAGTCGGTTCCGTCTCTGTGGCACACAACAACAACAGCAAAGGAAGATGAGATGTCTTTTCATGTTAAAAATTTAGAGTTAGAAAATCTGGCTGAAATGTTTAGCTTGATTGAGTTTTTATTCAAGGATTGGATGCTTTAGCCCCAGGGTTGGTAGACTTTTCTGTAAGGGCCAGATAATGAAGTGAAGCATTTTATCAGCTTCTAGCAATAGATTACACAGGACTGAGCTGAACTGTGTCACTTAACCTTTGATGTATATGAGCTAACTTCAAGCTGGATTGGGCCACTGGGCTGTAGTGTGTTGATTAGCAGTTTAGATAACAGAGCTAGCCCCTTGCTCTTTTCTTCTCTTTGTGATATATTCCCTGTGTTGGATCCTCTCTATCTGCCACCCAGGCTGAGGATAAGACCTTTGTACCATCAAGCCTTTATGACAGATGAAGATAAACAGGCCAAGCCCTTTGCAAACTCTGCAGAAGGCACTTGTCCATGTCCACCTGCACTCTAGACCTTACTCTGACCTTTGATTTAATTCTGACCTTTTCCAACCTGCTTTGTCCCTGTCACCCTTGCCTGGCCATACCAGAAAAAGAGACTTGTTATCTTTAACCCCTAACAGAAATCCAGTCAGACCACAAAAATGTGCTTTCAGGTCCAATTCCTACAGGAAGTCAAAGTAATAACTACTTTGGAGAAGTGATTGGGAACAGATAGGTTTCTGTTTATTCTACCAAATCCTACTAAAGTATTAGAAATCTACCTTAATCTTTCCAGGGTAAGGGATGGGTACCAGGAAGGTGTTCTATACCCCAAAGCATAATAGAATTTCACCTAATTATGTCTTGTCTTTCTGCTCTTGTCCCTCTCATTTTCCTACTCAGTCCTCAGATTTTGAGATAAATTCTGGAGTTCTGGAACCTATTACCCAGGAAGCTTTGGTAACTTAGTGGTAAGGAATCACACTGCCAATGCCAGGGTACACAGTTCAAATCCACCAACTGCTCTGAAGGAGAAAGAAGAGCAGTCTCTTTCTGCTCAATTCTGGCTAACAGTACAGAACAATAGAATCTACTCCTAACTTTATAAAGTCCCTGAAGTACAACATCCCTAGAGACTGTATAAGCACCCTTGATTCCTCAACACCAGATTTGAGGCTCAGAAACAAAATTTATTTGAAGGATATGTGCGTATGTGTATGTGATCTCATTCACTCACTCATTTACACCCGTTTTTCAGCATATTCTCTGAGCATCTGTCTGTGTCAGGCACTGACTGGGTGCTGGGGATGTAATGGTGAGTACCACCAAGACCTTCCTCTTGTGGAACATGTTGCAATAGGACAAATGGAAAATATTAATTAGTAGACAAATGCATACAGATTTCATTTTGAAATCAGTACTGTGAGGAAACTAGAATTGAGTAATATGGTAGTGAGTCTGAGGTAGAGATTAGGGGTAAAGTGTAGTGCTTGGCTTCATAATATATTCACCTTTTTTTTTTATTAATTTTTTTTTCTTTTGTGTGCGTGTACCGTCAAATCAGATCTGACTGGTACAGGAGGATATTGCGCCTCCTTCTCTGGCAGAGCATCTGGTGGATTCGAACCGTGTTCCTCTGGGATTGCAGTGCCGCTTCTTGCCACTAGGCCACCAGAGCTCCCCATATTCACCATTTTTAAAAGTTCTCGTACAACAACGTGATCAGTGCATGAAAGCCCGGCTTTCATAGTTCATTCCTATTGTATGGTTGCCCTTTATGCAGTGTATATAAAAATATTCACAACTTAAAGAATATCCCCATGCCAGTAATGTGCCCTGGTATTTCTACCATCCTGTCTGTAAACCTTCCAGACGTTTTTGAAAGGAACCACTTGCCCCGTGGTTTCACTGAGGGCCACATCCATCCGAGCAGGTCTTCCTGTATTCTGCTCATCCATCCGAGGCTGGGTGGAGTGAGATCTTGAGGCATCAAACTTTAATAAATATATTGCTGAAAGACACAAACTTTAGCATGTGGTTAAACACTAAACATACTTTAAAAAATCTATTATCACTGGTAACAGCCCCCGACATTTTAACTCCTTTATCTTGCTGTGTTTCCCACCCCTTCAGTGCTTTTCATTGTTGTTGTTGTATGCTGTCGAGTTAGAACTAACTAATAGCTGACCCTCCTGTAGGTTTTCAGAGACAGCATATTACACGAGAAGCAAATACCCTTCTTTCTCCTACAGAGCAGGTGGAGGATTTGAACCTTGTGCCTTTGGGTTGGCAACACAGTAGCTCCTTACCACTCCCTGGGCCACCGCATTCCCTGTGCTTTTCATTACTTACTCTTTATTTTCTGTCTTTTTTGCTGAAATAAGCTTCATGTGAATAAACAGTCTGTTTGCTTTGTTCATTGTGTATTCCTGGCCTTTAGTACAGGTATGTGTTGCTTAATGTCCTGTGTACCTTCTCTGAACTTGGACTTTATGTGCCTTGGACATTGTCACCATGTTGTATATGTAGCAGGCAGCAATCCTTGGAGATATTGCAGGTTTGTTTCCAGAACATCGTAAGAAAGTGAGTATTGCAACAGAGTGAAGTGAGCTGTGTGAATATTTTAGTTTCCCTGTGCACACAAAGTTAGTGAACACTGCACTGTAACCTATTAAGTGTGCAGTAGCATTATGGAAAAAAACTTTCAAATATGATGAGAATTATCAAACTGTGACACAGAGACATGAAGTGAACACATGTTGTAAGGAAATGGCACTGGTAGATTTTCTCAACTTGGAATCAAGCACACCTTCAATTTGTAGGGGGGGGAACAACCCAGAATTTGTGGAGTGTAGAAAAACAGCAATAAAATGGAGTTTGCCTGTGTGTGTTTGTATTTATTCAGGACATGTACATTAATGTAAGCCCTGAGCAAGCTGCTCTGGCTCTCTTATAATGCCTGGGGCTCTTTGAGCAGGCCCGGGGGTGCCTGGAGCTCCCAGGAATGGAGTGGAACGGCCATGGCCCACTGACTTCTCACAGGCACCCACAAGCAGAGTGGCTGGGTGGGGCACATGCCAGTGGAAAGCTTTGAGATGTGAAGCTGCCATGCCTTGGGAAATACAGGCCATAACATGACTTGGGGTTTCAACCATACAGCCCAGCCTTGGTTGCTGTGGCACCCCAAACTTGAGGCTGGCCCTGCCTCCTGGTGCCATTCCTGCCTTCCTTAGCGACTTACATGTGGTTGAACATATACTTACTCGGTCAGTCTTTGCCCACAGAGTCATTATGGGCTGTACAGGGGAGTTCTGGAGGTACAGACCATAGCAGGTTGGCTCAGAAGCTGTGGCTATTATTAAAACTCTATGAAGAATACAGAGGAACACTGTTAGACATATATTAGAGTCCTTAGACTGGAAGATACTAAAAAAAAAAAAAAGAATGACTATGAGGATGGTAAATAAATAATCAAAACTGCTATCTTCCATTGCAAGGGGACCTTACTTCCGCCAAGCATTTTCAGACAGCGAACGCCATGCTCAGTCTCTTTGTCAACTCTCACTGTCTTGCGCTCATACAGAGAGAGTCCTCTAGGACCATCTACGTTCCTGGTACTTGGACAACATTCAGAATCCCTTTGACTGTGGCTTGGCCAATTTGCTGGCTGTTATTGATGGCTCTCCTGTCGTTTCTTTAGCACTCTGTCACTGTTGCTGCGGCAGGAACAAGGTCCATATATTGCCCTCTGAGAAGTATTGGCTCCAGCATATGCAAACCCAGTAACAGTGGTAATTTCAGCATGGCCGAGAAAGAGGTATGGGGAAACCTTGAAAAGAAAGTTGGCTTTTCAAGCTTCTGTTGCAAATGCCAGAAAAATAGGTTCATAGTAAAAGTATCATCACAGCTCTCTAAAGAAAAAACACGAAACAAACCCCAAACCTCTTAGCTCTGTGGTCCCTGTGCTGTGCCCATGTAGACACTTGGTGGACCGCATACTGCACCTCCTGTTCAGAGTGCTGTGTTCTCCCACCTCCTTGCTAACTTTGTCTTTCTTATCTTTGAAGATCCAAGAGAAATTGAACAAGACCAAGGATGATATAAGCAAGAGCATGTCGTTTCTGAAAGTGGACAAAGAGTATGTGAAAGCTCTGCCATCCCAGGGTCTGAGTCCAGCTGCCGTCCTGGAGAAGCTCAAGGAGTACAGCTCAATGGGTACGTGTGTGTGTCCTATACCCCCACCTTGTGCAGGGGCTCGGCTTCCTGAAAGTGATGGGCGGGGTCGATGTTTGACCCTCATGTAAGAAGGACTGACCCTGTATTCACATGTTCAGGAGTCACTTTCTGTTTTAGAGGTTGCTTTACATGTTGTTGTTGTTGTTATGTGCCGTCGAGTTGCCTGCGACTCATAGCAACCCTATGTACAACAGCCCTAAACTCTGCTCTGTCCTGTGCCAATCACACTGTCTCCAACACTCCCATCCTAATTATCCCAGTCACTGAATCAATCCACCTCATAGAGGGCCTTCCCCTCCTGTGCTGTCCCTCCACCCTACCAAGCATGATGTCCTTCTCCAAGGTCTGGTCTCTCCTCACAACATGTCCAGAGTATGTTAGATTGAGCTGCAGAATCCTTGCCTCCAAGGAGCCACCCGGTTTAACCCTTTCCAGGACAAATCTGTTTATTTTCCCAATAGTCCATGGTACTCTCAATAGTCTTCTCCAGCACCACAGCTCAAAGGCATCAATTCTCCTTCTATCCTCCTTGGTTATTGTCCAACTCTCTGATGCATAACAAGTGATTGTGAAGACCATGGCCTGTATCAGACGCACCTTAGTCTCCAGAGAGACACCATTGCTCTTCAGTACTTGGAGAGGTCCTTAACGGCAGCCTTTCCCATGGCAGTGCACCTTTTAATTTCCTGGCTACTGGTTCCAAGAGTGTTGACTGTGGAGCCAAGCAAACTAAAGCTGTGGACAATCTCAATCTCTTCACCATCCATCCTGATGCTGCCAATTGCTCCAGTGGTGAGAATCTTTGTCTCCTGTGTTTCATTGATTATGCAAAGGCATTTGACTGTGTGGACCATAACAGACTGTGGCTGACTCTGAGAAGAATGGGAATCCCAGAACACTTGATCGTTCTAATGAGAAACCTATATTTGGACCAGGAGGCAGTCGTCAGAACAGAGCAAGGGAACACTGCATGGTTCAAAATTGGGAAGGGCGTACGCCAGGGATGCATCCTATTTCCATACCTTTTCAACCTATATGCAGAACAGATTATCCGGGATGCTGGGCTCTATGAGGAGAAATGTGGGGTCAAGATTGATGGACGATTTATCAACAATCTGCGTTATGCGGATGACCCAACCCTGGTTGCTGAAAGTGAGGAGGACCTGAAGCACCTGCTGCAGAGTGTCAAGGACTGCAGCCTCCAATATGGATTGAGGCTCAATGTCAAGAAGACAAAGATTCTCACCACTGGACCAAATGCTTTACATACTTAAAAAAATTATGTTTAGAGTCCTCTTCATCCACAGAACATGCTATTCTCCTAGACAGTGAACTCTTCCATTTTCTTTTGTAAGTTTGAATGGTGCAGATGCATATCATACAAATAAAACACAACTAAAATTTATTGTAGAAGTTGTAAAACTTAACATTAAGACATGAAAGTTATTATAGTCCTGTCCTCAAAAGATAAACAGATTTCTGAATGCACATACCAGGGTTGTTAGTACTGTGATGAGCATATATAAAGGAAGGGCAAAAAAACCAAACTGTTTGATAATTAAAAATATAATCCATGGAAGCAGCCTAGATTTACTTTCTGATTCTGTCACTTAAACTTTGGGTGAATTCTCGAACCTCTCTGTGTCTTAAGAGAGCTCTGGTGGCGTAGTCCATAGGCAGTTGCACTGCTAACCCAAATGCCCTCTCAGGTGGTTCCCTTAGTGGCTTCAAGGAAGACAGGTGGGTAGTCTCTTCCTGTGTGACTTATAACTCCCCAGACCTCGCTGGAGGTTTAGCCCTGGAGCAGTTCTGACTTGATGGCAATGAGTTCAAGTTCTCTATATCTCAATTTCTGTATCTCTACTTTGATTCAACAGCACTAAGTTTGAACTTGACAATGGGAATAATACTTAACTCAAGTATGGTTATATGGGAGTTAGTTGAGTTCATATGTATAAAATGTTTTACTGTACCTGGCATATTCTAAGAGTGCTCAATAATTGCTAACTATTATTATTAACTTTCTTATTACAAGTTAAGATCATGCTTAAAATACTTTTTGAAAAGAAACATATTTGGTTTGGAATAATTTTACATTATAGAAAAGTTGCAAAGATGATACAGAGAGTTCTTCTATTCTCTTAACCTGTCTTTATATAACCTTGGTACATTTCCAAAATTAAAAAATGAGTGTTGATGTGGTACTATTAACTAAATTGCAAATTCTGTTTCCCCCTCCCCTTTGTTTCCATTGGTGTCTTAATTTTGACTCTAGGATCCACTCAGGGATACCACAATGCATTTCGATAACCTCAGTGTTCCTAGTTGGCATGTTTTTGAGTGATACAAAATTAAATATAGTCCAGTGTATTGATATTTAAGGGAGCTCTGGTGGCCTCATGGTAAGAAATTACACTAATTTTGTTCACATCTTCCAGCTGCCCTGCAGGAGAAAGACAGACAGTCGACTCCTATGTGATTATTACTGTCTCTGAAATGGTCAGCCATGAGTCAGGCCTGACTCAGTCACACGTAAAAAGAACAGTATTTATGATAGGAAGCTGAGGTAGCACCCAGAGGCCTTTGTACTAAAGATTGCCCTGATGGTAAAGGCTGGATGCTGCCGTCATACTTCCCTTCGATCTTCTAAGTCATTTCCCATTGCCATACTCTAGCACCCATAAAAGAACTTGAAATAAAGTCACATACCCTTTTTGTGAGAGACTGGTAACCCCTGGCTTGAGTATATTCTCAGTATAGAACAGTGTCCTCTAGAGAAAGGACGAGTCAACGGGCATGAAGCCAGAGCTTCGCAGCTTGCTGTGAGGATGGAGACTTTGTATGTAGCCTTACTATTCAGACGTCCTTGTCTTGGTAGAGATCCAGAACACTATACAGTCCCAGACTAAGTGCATTTCTCAGTTAATGCACTTCTGTAATAGCTTTCTCACGACCTGCTTTCAGCAGGGCACAGCCACCCTATTGAAAAAGACTAAATAAAAGCACCACAAAGCACTCAAAACAGCCACATCACCAGATTTGTTGGTATGAAGTGGTAGGTCTTTGAGGCAGTCCCTCAGACAGGAAGTGGGACTTCTGCCCTTGTGTTATGTCTAAGAATTGCTCCTGTGAGCTACCCCACTGTTGACTCTGATTTTGATCTTGAGAACTACAACATACAGAGCTTGGGGTAAAGAAAAACAAAAGCAACAAACCAGTCATGTGGGGTTGATGCTGACTCAGGGGTGACCCTGTATGTTAGGAGTAAACATGTGGTCTGTAGGGTTTTCCATGGCTCTGATCTTTCAGAAGACCCATGGCATCTCTGGGTGGATTTGAACATCCAGAGTTTCAGTAGCTGAAGCCTTTGCTGTTTGCGCGCGCGCGCACACACGCGATTCTTGTGGTGCCGGGAGCAGGTGATTGACTTGGGTGTGAGTTTCATGCTTGTCTGACCGCAGGGGCCCTGATGTTCCTCATTCCCATCCCATCTTGGATTCTATTCCCTGAGTCCTAAGGAGGGCACTGAAACTTCTGTTGTTTTGCCTCTTCTCATTACAGTTCTCACATGTCCTATAACTGGATAGGAAGGGAGATAAGACGCTTTTGCAGGAAAAGGTCAAGGGAAAGCTATCTCAGAGGAAAGAAAATAAACATGGACGAGGGAAACTGTCTCCGCTGTTGGCTAGAAGGCATTTAAAGTGGATGAAGACAGTCTTATTGAAGTATTTTTATTTTGTCTAGATAAGGGTCGGTTCTGACTTGATGGTACATGACAACAACAGATGATATTAAAATCTTGCATACTGTTGTTAAACACAATTAATGATTATTATTTAACTGACTGTGATAGTATTATTTTAAAATTTTTTGTGATAGTACTTTTTTGAAATTCTTTTCTAGAGTCTCCTGTGTTGTATAGTATTTTACAAAAATCCCTTTGTACGTTGTTTTGTACTGTTGAGTCAAAACCAACTTATATATGACTCTCTGGTGGGTTTTTAGAGGCAGTTAATCACTCAGGAGTTAATCTCCTGTGGAATAGCTGGTGGATTTGAACTGCATGCCTTTGGAATTGCAGTGCAGTTTCTTACCACAAGGCCACTAGAGCTCCCTTAGAATGCTGTATAGTATTCTGCTTTGTGAATATATCATAATTTCTCAATCCAATCATTTGTTAATGAACATTTGTGTTGTTTCTTGTTCTTGCTATTGTGAATAATGCTGCTATGAACATAGGTGCACAAACTTCCATTTGTGTCTCAAGTCTATTTTCCTTGGGATATATGACCAATTGGCAGCATCAGGATGGATGGTGAAGAGATTGAGATTGTTCACAACTTTAGTTTGCTTGGCTCCACAGTCAACACTCCTGGCACCAGCAGCCAGGAAATTAAAAGACATATTGCTATAGGAAAATTAGACAGGACTTGAAGGACTTTGGGAATGACAAAATTTTCCCCCTGAATAGGACCAGAAAGGTCCTTCAAGTAGAGCAAGTTTCCCTTCCCTATAAAGGGAACACGCTAAGGCTGCACCTAATTATTAGCTTCATAAACGTTAAGAACTAGACCAACACGACAGAAAGAGCCTAACTCTTACAAAGGAAAACTTCACATAATGCCAATTAAGCAGCAGGTAGTCTCAAACATCATGGGGGGAAAAAACCAAACCCAAACAAGTCTTTTCTTAAAAAAAGCTAAACATATTGCAGATCCAGTGAATACCCAGAGTTAGGGAAAGTGAAAAAATGTATTGACACAGAGTTATATGAACAGCTACTTAAGGCAGAAGTGATGAAAAAGAGAACTGAAGTCATAAATAAAGTGAATACCCCAGAGACAGGGAGCCAGAGGAAATATATCTACATGGAGGAACATCAACAACTACTGAAGAAACTGCAAAAGATGGGATAAAGAATTGTAACTGTATGTGAAGAAGTACAAGAAATTTTAAAAATCATAACAAGACAGAGAAGG